GGCGGGTACAGCACAGGTGTGCTTTCCGCACTTGCTGGGTGCAGCCTGTATGTTTTGAGTTCACAGATCTAGGTGTGCAAAGGGTAAAGTTATTTTTCTATAAATGAAGTTAGTACCTGTAATAAACCCTTATTTCCAGGCAATAGAAGATTAACTTCAGTCATTTTGGGGCACTTGCCCTTTGCCCATGACGCCTCTGCATTTGAGACTTACCCGATGCCAGAAACTTCGGGTAGGGGGCATCCACCCAGGCTGGCCTCACATGTCACCAGCACCACTGCCTGGACACAATCATCACAGCCAAACCACACCAACTCCCTGACCCTCTAGAGCGCGCAGAATGATCCTAGTGCTTCTGCGGCGCTCCGGGACCACTGAAAAGTTGATGGGGCCGTTCACAGCCTTTAGTCTCCTCCTTGGTGCTCCTGAGTCCCCCTGTCGCCCAGAAGCCCACCCCACCATTCCCGGGTCTGCCTCAAGGTATTCTCAAAGCACCCCTAACCCTGGCACAGCCCTATCCCAACCTCTGCACCACAGGTCCCAGAGGTGTGGATTTTCTGTTTGGAGCACTCCCTGTTGCACCCTAGGAAGAAAGCAAGTGCGGCCTTTCGCAACTTCCGGTGCTCAGCGGGGAATGGAAGCAAACACAGGCTCCCTAGCCTAGAGGGTGTGGACCCCACCCAGAGGACGGGGAGCGAAGTGGGTTTGGGATGTTATACTCACTCTCCCATTCCATTGTAAACACTTCAGTTCTTAGTGTCCTCAGAAGGCCTAGACTTTAAAAACTAAAAATGATAATATTTGACTCCTGCTGTGCCATTTGCTTCCTGTGAGTCATCCTTTCTCCCAGGCAATGGTGCTGACAAGTGGTCAGAGGAAGAGAAGAAGGATCACAAGCTAGGAGAGGGAAAGCTGCACCTGTATCCCAGCCACAGCTGCTCAACTTCCCACCTACTCCTTGTTAAGATTCACCACAGCCACGATGTACGCGAGGAAGAAACCCGACAATATGGCGTACGGAACCAGCAGCTGGGGTGACGGCGGGGGCGTCAGCGCAGGCGGTCTTGCCTCAGACCCTTTGGTTTATTCTCTGCTCTCACTTTCTCCTCAGAGAAGCCCCCGTCTGAGACTTCATCCACCAGCAGTTGTACCACAGTGAGTCTGCTGCTTTTCCTTCTCCTCCCACTTTGCCTCTTCTCCCTTCCTCGTTTCCTCCTTCCTTCCCTCTTATCCCATTCTGCTCCGCTTCTCCTCCCTGAAGGAAAATTAAAGGGACACGGTTCCAGGATACGTGGCCTCATTAGTGGAACAATTACTCTACAACTTACACTGAGAGGGGCTGCTTAGACACCATGAGACCGTCAAAAAATACACACGTACTGCTAAGGCGGGATAACAAAGCCAGGCTCTCACCCGAGCTGAGTCTAGAACCACAGAAATGCGATCAAAGCCAGAGGAAATACAGGCATTGGCAAAGCTTTTAAAATCGGGAACAGTGCTCCAGCCAGGTACAGCAGCAGCTCTCACCAAGACCAGGCCAGGCCAGTGATTCCCTGACAAAAGAAAGGAGTAGCTAATGTAGAAAGGTTCCCACCAAAAGTGCCCATCCAGGTCGTCCATGCACATATAGGTTCGGACTGGTCCGTGTCCAAGCTCAGGTGCAGGCAGCTCCTGGGTCCGCTCCCACTAGGAAGGTGAAGCACTTTGCAGGAGGTTGTGCTGCTTGCATTGTGTCAGGAGAATATGTTTGTAGCTGTTGTATATTTAAGTCTGGGGCTATGTGTGAGCCCTGGGTTCCTATTTATAGCCTTGTTTAGTTCTGATGCACAAGCACAAAATACACATGATCGCTGCATTGCTTTATTCCCTTGTGGGTGGTCCCCATCTCTCCCCAGGCTTCTACATGCAGCTACTATTATGAAGGGAAAAGGGGTAGAAGAGAGGACTGGCTGTGTTCTCCTGGTGCCTTCCAGGCTGAGCCTGAGCTGGGAAGGCTGACTAGGGAACCACAAGGGGAGTGTTGGAGGGTAGGGTGGGATGGAGGAAGAGAACAAAATGTTGGGGAGTCTTCCAGTCTGGACCTGGGTTAACCAGGAACAGGCCTGGAGAGATGCACCTTCCCTGCTCACTGTGGGGACCTCTAAACCAGACTCTGCTTCCTTTAAAGGGGTGCCTGCCTCTGTGGTGCTGGGTAAGCTTTGAGAAGATGTCTTCTGGGGAGACAAGAACCTCAAAAGTCATTATCTTGGCCAGGGATTTAGCTCAGTGGTTCCACTGCCTGCCTCACAAGCACAAGGACATGAGTTTGATCCCTGGTACCCCCGAAAAGTCATTATCTTTAGGAAAGAAGGGGAACAACAAAAACAGTGAGTAAAAACTTGGATCTTTCATTCAATAAGTGTAAACAATGATTTTAGTCACCAGCGCTTCATTAAAAAACAGATTTGAACCAAAAATATAGCAGACTCTGAAATCCATACTTAAGTAGCAGATGTAATTTTCCAGTTATGTTTAAACTATTTGAGAATTAGCAATATGGCAGGGTCCTGAGAACTGGGACATTGAGCTTAGAATAACAAAATTACCATAGAAAATCCATGAAGTGTATAACTAAAAACCTGATGTATATTACATTCACCATTCTTCAAGTTAAGGGCTATTCCTAAAATATACAAAATAAATTGTTAATAAGATTAAAGCCACTGAGGAAATGTGTATAGTTATTTTAAAAGCAGAAACTAGTATGTAAAGAGTTATGAGTAATTTTTCTTCTTTTGTTTCTAGTACTAAAGATTGAATGCAGGGCCTTTGCACTGACTGACATACCAATCCTTTTTAATTTTGCATTTTGAGACAGAATCCTGCTAAATCACTAAGTTGCCCAGGCTTGGCATGAACTTGCAATCTTCCTGTTTCAGCCTCCCAGAGTGCTGGGATTATAGGCACATACCCCACACCAGGCCACGGGAGTCATGACACCATTTCCTCGCCTGCTGTAGTGAAATGTCTTCTGAAGGACAGGATGAAGGGGACTTTGCCATCTGTCGTCTGCTGTCAACAGACACAAGTGTGGCTCCCCCAGGGGCACCCAGCTTGGATGACCGAAGACTCAAACTGAGCCACTGCAGTGGCTGAATACAGCCTGTGTTTCACCAGGACAAATGACTCTACAAGTGGGGCAAATGCTCCTCTTTTATTTTATTTTATTTTTCTTTTTTCTTTTTTTTTTTTGGTACCGGGGATTGAACTCTGGTCCTTGTGCTTGCAAGGCAGGCCACCGAACCGCTGAGCTAAATCCCCGGCTCAAATGCTCCTCTTTTAACAAGGAATTCCTTAAAGCAAGGATGGTGCTAAGTAGACATAAAAAGAAAAACTTAGAGGCCGGGGGTTTGGCTCAATGGTTCCACCACCTGTCTTACAAGTACAAGGGCCCAAGTTCAATCCCCTGTACCAAAAAAATAAAAAGAAAGAAAAAAGAAAGAAAAGGAAAATCTTATGACATAGGGTCTTAAACTTTGAACCTAAAAATATGGGAAAATATTAAAAAAAAAAAACTGGGGCCAAAGTAAAACTGCATTCCCAGGTCTATTCTGGTGCGATTTGCATTCAATGTGTCCAAGGATCTGGATCTGATGCTATGATTTGGGGCTGGAAGGGAGAGAAGGAGATGTTGAAACCCCAGGCCTTATGAATCAAAGTTTTGATGGCCTACCTTACCACAGCAGCTCCCATCCTTTTTGGCACATGAAGGGATTGGTTTCATGAAGACAAAGTTTTCGTTAACTGAGGGTAGGGGATGGTTGGCGGATGACTCAAGCGCATTATTTTTACTATGTACTTTATTTCTGTTTCTAACACATTGCAATATATAATGAAATAATTATGCAATTTACCACATACAGAATCAGTGGACTCCCTGAGCTTGTTTTCCTGTAACTACTCCATAATCTCAATGTACCTCATACTCTCATTTTGATTACCATCACTGCAGCAAACCCTGCTTCACAAAGAGAGAGTGCTGAACACGGAAACATGATTTTCAGTGCTTTTATGGCGGTCTCAGGATTTTCTGCCTTGATTTACATACAGAATGTATGGAGATCTGAAGTTGTCTCAAGCATACCTTAAAGGCCACCATTGTTTGAGATCTTGATTCTCTTCTAAAAATACAAAGTAGGGCTGGGTATTTAGCTCAGTGGTTCCCCCACCTGCCTCACAAGTACAAGGACCCAAGTTCGATCCCCAGTACCAAATAAACAAACAAATAAAAATACAAAGCAGATTCACCTGATCTATTCACAAATGGATTGTGGATTCATTTCTTCCCAGTTTCTGGATCTTTTGTGGTTGGGAAGTAATACTCAAACTCTTGAAAGCTGAGATAGATAATTATGCACCAGCAGAAGAAAGAAGACCCTGGCTCAGTCTCTTTTAAAATATCTGTTAATGTCTGGTGCGTGTCAAAAGTTCCAATGCTCACTACTGCCAGTTTAACTTCGAATGCAACCACTTTATCTGTCGGGTGACCACTGTCGTCGCTCTTCTCTGAAGTGACAGACCGAGTTTGTTGAGCACGTTGAATATGGCGCAGAGTAAGCAAGTTCTGCAACACATTCTGTGTGACTGAAATACGCCGCCAGTGGTGACTGTTTTTCTGAAAGTATCTTTGGATTTGGAGCAGCTCTTATATCTCAAAAATTCTGGCCAGTGAGCTTTACTTTTAGAAAGCTATCTCATTACTATGTAAGAGAAGGTGTGAGCATCCATCTTCTCCTCACAGACCTAGGCAAACAGATGTGTATAAAAGGCATGTGGTTGATAATTTTAATCACATGCCACAAAATGTTATTAAGTTCAAATGACATTTTCCAGCTAGCTTGCGTTGCTCTGTGGATTACATAATGCACAGATTCACATGCAGAAGCAACGTGGTGAGACCAGAAAGCTGCCCACTCACGGTGGCCACTCTATCTGAGTGCACAGACACAAAATGACCCAACTACATTTTCCTGATATGCAATCCTTAAGTGATTTGAGCAGTTCTTCAGCTGCGGTGTTGGTTGGCAACCAAAGGGTACATAACATATGAAAACAAGCATTGTTGCCTTGTTGTCAATACTGGTAGACTCATCCCCCTGTCATCCTGCCACAGTGACTCGTTGCTCCTCTCTAACAGTTGCGTCTCGGTATTTTCTGCTCTTTCATCAGTTCATCTAGGTATGGTGCTATCCAAAGGAAGAGCACACGCCACCCTTCGAACTGCAGCTTCTAGTTCACCACAAACGTCCCGGGCAGCGGGCAAGGTCAGCTGTTTCCCAACAGTGTCAGTCACGCGGCCAGCCACCGAGGAGGACGCGCTCACGGCAGTCATCTTTGATGAAGTGGTAGCTCTCTGTAATCGCGTCAGTTCTTTTTGTTCACCTTCGTATTTCTTTGAATAGCTTCAAAGGCTTGTCTTTTAATTCGCGATGCTTGGTCTCCATGTGGCACAGCAATTCTGCTGGGCTCGCTGCTCTGTTGGATGGTAGGTTGCCACATATATACAACAGGCTTGGAGAGTGTGGATCACCTGTTGCAACGAACCCATAATTTAAGTAGGACTCTCATTATTTTCTTTGAAATGTACCTTTCTTCCTTCCTTCCCTCCTTCCTTCCTTTTTCTTTCTTTTTTTGGCAGTCTTAGAGTCTTCTGCTGCCTCCTTATTGGGGTTTTCCTCCTTTTCAAAGAAGCATTTATTTATTATTTTATTCTTTTTGCTCATTTTGGCTACAGTTGGCTTGTGAACTTACTAAAACTGTAACTAAGTTCAGCATGCAGTGCAGGAGAGAGGTGAAGATGTGAAATAGAACAATGAGCAAGCCACGGGCAGATTAAAATAACTCAGATTCTGACAGAAAGCCTGCCGCCGAATGTGGCTGTGCAGCTGACCATACTGAGCCACTGACCGCTGTAAAGCCTGCCACCAAATGCTGCTTAGTTGTCACTTGCCGCTCACTGTTAGGGATTTGAACTGACTTTCCAAGCAACTGACTTATCGTGGTTCCTGGGCAGTCAGCCCTCTGCCCATGTGAATCTGTGTTTGCAGCCACGCCCCAGTACCAGCATCACTGCCTCTGCTCCAAGTCAGACCTAAGGACTGCACAGCCTGGATCCCTCCCATGCACACGGCACTGTGAACACTCAGTAGGGCTCACGCCCCTGTGAGGAGCCAGTGTCTGCGGCTGAGCTGACAGGCGGCGGAGCTCAGGCGGCACTGTGGGCAGTAGGAGCAGCTGGAGACCCAGATGGACCTTCACTTGCTCACCCTGCTCATCTCCTGCTGTGCGGCCCAGTCCACGGCCCCAGAACTGGAGACGTCTTTGCTGCCAGTCAGCTGGGTGTTGTCAGGACTCATGCAACATTATCTGTGTTAAACAGTTAGCTAGTTCGTGGCAAGTGGGTGGCAAATATTCACGACCCCAGCTGCCCTGAGCTTTCCGTGAAAGTTAGATTGGCCTCTGCTCCCATGGCCCTCCCCATGGGCCTCATTCGTGATCTAAGTCCTTCAGCAGAGGCTTTTAGAATTCAGAGGGGAGTGGAAGATCTGTCTGGGAGGAGAGACTGTACTATTTTTGGACCCTGTTTATTTTATAATTTTGCATATCAGGAGCAGGCACCCAGAAAAACAAATCATTTATTTTTTCTCTCTCTATTCTCTTTATGACAACACAGTTCACATGAATTCTGGGGCAACATTACTTTTTTTTTGAATCACCAAGTAGTGGGTATAATTCATAGGCAAGGCAATGTGGTGTACACGACCCTACACATCCGCTGGCCAAAAGGCAGGGGCACAGCACAGCACACACTGCCCCCTTGTGCTCTGCCGTGCCCAGTCTGTTCTCTTGCTTTCTCCCGCTTGTTATGGTGTCCATGCTACGGATTCATCAGCATCAGAAGGGTATTACCACACGTGGCCAGATTTGCTAAGCCAAAATGTCATTAATGAGGCCACGCAGCAATACAAGGCCTCAGCACAAACAAAAGAGAAGTGAGCTTCTGATGAGTGCGGCACACTCTGCAGGTAGTGGCTGTGGGCTTAACGATGGCCCAGGCTGAAGTCCTTGGATACGAAATTAGCTAAACAAGTATCAGTTGTCTACCAAAGTGCCTCCAAATTACAAATGGGTTCAGAGTTATTTGGCCTAAACTCATCCAGCAGGGCCATTAACTACTGACCTTCGAATTTATGGTGGTTTAGAACAAGACCCTGATGGAAACTAGTAGAGCTTTGACCAGAAAGTCAATGAATCTTGCTCACTGGCAAGACTTCATGTCTGAAGCATTCTTGGTTGGGCTTAAATATAGTGAGTGTCTGTGATATTGAAACCGGTTAAATGCAGGTAAGCTAGACTTCGACTCACCTGACCATTATGCATTACCTTAGTGCTGATGGCTTAGTCCTCTGTGCCTTTTGAACACAATGGGAGATGAGTCAGAGCCTCTTGCTTCAATGCTCATGTGTGAAGTGTTGTTTTTTTCAAAACCCAGAAACTGAAAATCGTTTCCCTACTTAAAAAAGCTGATGAGCGGGTGAGGGGAGGGCAGGGGTAAGGGAAAAAATGAGAATCAAGACTTGTCATGTGGAGGTACAAGATCCCAACAATGAATGTAACTGTACTGTATCCCTAAAATGTACCAATAAACTCAATTAAAGCTGAAAAAAAACCCCGAACAAATAAAAAAAAACAAAAACAAAAAACTGATGAAGACATTCTGGTGCTAAAGCAGAAGCACAGCGATCTCTGTGGGGCAAGGAGCGGGACTGTGCAATTCAAGTCAGGTGAGCCAGGGTCGAGCAGAGAGAAACGTGTGTCCTTCACCAAATATGTGTTTTCTCTGAATCTGACCTTTTGTTTCCTCAAGATCTAATTTTTCTTCTCTCACCAGACCTCTTGTCTACTTGTTGAGAAACAGTCCTCCTAAGGCCCACCTTTCTACAAACACCCTGCGGGACTGACTGACAAATGATGGCCGTGTTTTGCACAGATACCCTGAAGAGACTCGCACGTTGGAGAACTTTTATGAAAAAGCAACAGGAGCCCTCAGACACATTAGGCTTCACTGCGACTTGACCTTACCTGTCCCTCTATTCCAAGTGCATCCACTCCAGCCTGCACAGAGTCCTCTTGTGAGGGCCGCTGATCTTTACAAAAATCTTCCCAGGTAGTTCAGGAAAAGACAATGCAAACCATTAATAAACATAGGAATAATAAACAGTTGCTCTCATCAGTAATTAAAGAACAACAAACAAACAAAACAGAGATTGCTTTTTGGCATGTGTGAATTAATTTGAGAAAAGCCTTTAATAATTATGGTGCTAGTGTTCCAGTTAGAAATGTTTTAGGATGCAATAACAACACCCCACCAAAACCAAACGTTTTAAACCATTTGTGCAATATATTATTTCATAGAAAAGAACTCCCGAGCAGAGACAGCCACTGAGTCGATTAAGAGGTCCAACTACGCACCTTCCCCTCTTGCCGGCTTCCTCCTCGGGCTGGCCTAGTTCTTGGATTGCGTGCAGATGTGGCAATGTCCAGCGAAAGGAGGGAGACTGTTTCTTTCTGTGTCTTTGTAAGAAAATAAAGTTTGAGCCAGTAAACTGTGTATCTCATGTCCTTAGCCAGGCCGGGGTCACGGCCACCGGGCGGGGAAGATGAGGTCACCAGCACCGACTCAGATGACGCAGGGAGCACCTGAACAGGCCGTGGCGCTGTCCACATGGGAGAAGAGAACCTAGCGGCCCTGGGGTCAGAAAGCTGTGTGTCTCCTCCAGCAGCTGAGCACAGTGTCAGGGGATCTCAGCGATTCTGCACCTTGACGTACACTCTGGAGCACAGTACCTAAAAGCGTCTGTACCTTTGGCGTAAGGAACTCCACCTCTAGGAACAAAGCCCACAGGAAGTACGCATAAAAGCAGACAGAGCTGTGTGCACAGCTTATGCAGTGTTCTTACAACAGGAGAGAGGAAAAGAAGCTAGGTGTGGTGGGTCATACTTATGATCCCAGTGCTCCAGGAGGCTGAGGCAGGAGGATCAGCCGCTTAGTGAGACCTTGTTTCAAAATGAAAAGGGCTGAGGATGTAGCTCAGTGCCAAGGTCCTAGATTCAATCCACAAATTTGGCTGCGTGAATGAGCCATGCTTAAACGAACAGATAAAAACTTAGGTATTTAGTGAAGTGACACTGAATAAGGACCACGGAGCATTGGGAGTCTAGGCTTGGGGACAGATTGCTGGGCAAGCAGGAAAAGGAGCAAAGAGAGGTGTGCTGTCAGTGACTACTGAGAACTGGCATGCGGCTGTTCACCAACCCACTCTGAACTCTGATTTCCCTGGCAGGTGAACTTACTGTCTAAGTGCCCCGCTGCAGTACACAGTCCATGCAGTCACCAATTCAGCCTCAGATGATGCTCTAGGGTCAGATCCCAGCCTAACTCATAGGCAAATAAAAAATCTCTCCTATGGGTGGCTACACCTGGGCTGCATGGAGCATGTCGGTCCTTGCAAGGATGGGAGTGACCTGCAAACCTGTGCAAGATGGGAACGAGCACACCCTGGACATCACGCCCCAGTGTTTAGAACAATCTTCAGAACCCCAAGCTAAGTGCATGCTTGCAACTAGGAAGTGGGAATTAATGAACGAAGGAGAAAAAACAAAGCAGGAAATCCAGTCCTCTGGATATCTGCCCCTGTTATATGCCAGATCAGAGCTGCCCCTGCTAACCTACATTGTTCACAGACAGAACAACCTGCTGCAGAGTTTATCTGCCTGCAGACCTACTCTGTGTCAGCATTTATGCTCTGACCATGAAAACCCTGGATGGTGCCATTTCCACCGAAGATGTGGGCACCAGGCGGGGCTTGCTGAGCACCACAGGTCCCCTGGCTCCCTTGTTTGTACAAGAAGTGCAAGAATAAAACCACCATGCAAGAATAATGAGCATCACAGATGATTTTGGATAACCCATTAAAATAACAAATCAGGAACGGCTTCAACAAAAATCACTGGAGATAAAAATCATGCAAAGGGCTTGTTCTCTTGAAGGAAACAACATACTGTTGCTTTTGCATTTTTTTTTTTGAATGCTGAAGTGCTTAAAATGTGATTTAATCTCTCTTTTAATATTTGCAGGTTTATCCACTAGGCCTGATTTTTAAAAATTGAGTTTATTGGTACATTTAAAGTATACAGTACAGTTACATTCATTGTTGGGATCCTGTACCTTTACGTGACGGGTCTTGGTTCTCATTTTTCCCCTTGTCCCTGCCCTCCCTTCACCCCCTCCTCCCCTCCCCATCTACAAACACTTTATTTCCATCTTTTCATTTTCTCACATTTTTTTCTTTTCCCTTATTACCCTTCCCCTACCCATCCCACTTTCCCTACACCTTTAGCCCTTTTCTTCCCATTTTGCAATGTCAGTTATCTCATTAGGATCTTATGTACTATTATAGTTTATTTACACCAGAGAAATTATTTGGTATTTATACATCTGTGACTTATTTATTTCTTCTCTTAGGAGTACATCCTCAAAATGCATCCATTTTCCTATGAACGAATCTAATTTCTCATTCTTTATGGCTGAGTAATATTCCATTTTATAGAAAAACCACATCTTCTTTATCCAGTTTCCAACGGATGGGCAGATGGGCTGTTTCGCATGAAAGGTGGGAAGAAATTCTTTGATGGTACAAATAGTCCTCTTGGACATCTTTCCCTGCCATGTCTGTGCGGTGAGAGTTTCACAGCAGGCCCTGAGCAGGCTGCTTGTCACCTTGGTCACCTGCGTTCTTTGCTTGAGAACTTCCATCGCCAAAGCCCTTCACAGTTGTCAGCTGACAGCCTGACTGATTGCCCAAGTGAGGAAAGCAGGGTCACACCTGCGGCCCAAACCCCAAGCAAGTGCCTTCTGCTGCCTCTGGAGGAAGCTTTATCAGGGCCAGAGAGGCCACGTGGGAAGGAAGAGCCAGAGGGAAAGGGCACGCCGTGCGGGGAGCATGCCTGTGGGAATGGGGAGGCAAGCTGAGGCCAGGGACGGAAGGCCAGGTCGAGAGCCGGCGGAGAGTCACAGGGACGGAGCAGGAGACGAGGGGAAAGGTGGAACGAATCCGAACGACAAAGAACGTGGCAACACCCAATCATTTAAAAGCCCAGGTTCTGGAGAAGACTTTTGCATATATAGCCTTTATTTTTTTAAAGGAATTTTAGGCTGATAGCAAAATTGAGCAAAAAAGTGCAGGGAGTTGCCTGCCCTCTCTTGACTTTGACATGTGACAGCTCAGCTGAGGAACCTAGGCTGACATATCACTGCTGCCCAAAGCCACAGATCTCACTCGTGGTGGTGTACATTCTGTGGATTCGAACATGTGGACAGTGTCATGTGTCCACTGTCACAGTACAGGAGGACTTTCTCTGCCCAAAGCTCCTCATGCCCCTTTTACTCTTTCCTCCCTCTCCCCTGGTCCCTGGCAGCCGCTGGTCTTTCTACTGTCTCCACCTTCTTGCCTTGAGCAGACTGTTCTGTGATGGGAGTCATGCAGCAGTGTGACCTTTCCTGATTGACGTCTTCCACTTCACATACACTTGAAGTCCTTTCGTGCCTTCCCACGGTTCAGGAGCTGACGTCTTTGTAGTACCGAGTAACATCTATCCATTCGTCTGCTTGAGGAAATCTCGGTTGTGTCAGGTTTTGCCAGTTATGAACAAAGCTTCTATACATAACCCGTGTCCTGTGGACACAGGTCTTTAGCTCACTTGGATGAACATGAAGGCGTGCAATCGCCAGATCATATGTAAGGTCGCGACTGGTCATACGAGAGAGCGCAAAAGCGTCTTCTGAAGTTGCTACCATCTCGCATTCCCACCAGTAATGAGAACCCACAGACATTATTTTTAATAAAATATCGCCATACTATATACACTATTTTATAATCTATACTTTTCTGTGAACAACTCTATCTTTCCACATAAATATACTTTTTAAAAATCTCATTGAGTTTCTTGATACATTTTAGGTGTACAGTACAGTTGCACTCATCCTTGGGATCTTGCACCTTTACATGACAGGTCTTGGTTCTCATTTTTCTCCTTCCCCTGCCTTCCCTTCACCCCCTCTCCCTCTTCTATTTACAAAGACTTTGTTTCCAATTTTTCCTTTTCTCATATTTTCTCTTGTCCCTTATTTTCTTTCCCCTACCCTTTCCACTTCCTCTACACCATTAGCCTTTTTCTTCCTATTTCACATTATCAGTCACATCAATATCCTTTAACAGGAAGGAAATCTTTAAAATCACATGCAAAGGGCCTTACTGCAGACCATTTTTCAGAAGACTAGATTTGGCTACTCCCACTCAGAAGTTGCCAACTTTAGATGAAGGACAAGAGGCAATAAAAAACAGAGTTAAGTACTAGGACTTGTAGTCTGACAAACCCAGGCTGAAATCCAGCTCCACCACTAGATAGTTGGTTTATCTTTCACATAGCATCTAACTGCTTCATCTGCTAATAATAATATTCCTAAATTTAGTGCAACACACACACACACACACACACACACACACACACACACACATACACATCAGGTATTGCAGCAGAAAAGGATGTGACAAAGGGAAATAATGCTTACAAAATTTATGGAAGAACTGGAAGGCTGGAAGTCAGGATAGGTGTACTGAGAGAGATGTTCGTGATGAACCATAAACTTCATGGGTAACATGAAATATTAATGTCAGAAGACAACAGAGTGATTTCTTCGAAGGTCTGAGATGAGTTACTTTTATTTCAATCTAGAATGCTATATGTAGTCGAAATCTTTTTTTCTTTTACACAGTGACAGGGATTCAACCCAGGCCTTCATGTCACGGTCAGACTCTTAACCCACCATAAGGACACCAAGGGTACAGAAAATGTATCCTCTAACCTAAGAACTGTATCTCTTGCATCGTCATCTTTTGGGATGTGTTCCAGTACACAAGGTTGTAAAGCAAGAAAGAGGTGAATATAGGATTCAGAAAACAGTGGCTGCAATTCAGGGAAGTAGCACAGAGAAGCCCCAGGATATGAGGTGTGAAGGTTTGCAGAGCAGGCAGGACTCCAGATGGGGGCCTGGGGCTGAGGGGAGGAAGGGATTCTATAGGCTAGATATAATATAAAGAAATTGGAGCCAGTCGTGGTGGCGCACGCCTGTAATCCCAGCACTCGGGAAGCTGAGGCAGGAGGATCGCTGTGAGTTCGAGACCAGCCTGGGCTACAAAGTAAATTCTAGGTCAGTCTCAACTACATAGTGAGACCCTGTCTCAAAAAACAAAAACAAAAACAAACAAACAAACAAAAAAATAAATTGGAATCCCTGGGGCTTTGGGGACTGTGAGAGGGGCACAGAATGCCTCAACAGCAATGAAGGAAAAACAGTAAAGAAAGCATAGAAGGCTTCCAGGAAAGGTGATGAAAACGACAGTCCAAGTAACCGGAAGTCAGCGAGATTCAAGAATAATAAAACATAACCCAAGCAAGAGAGACGCCAAATAAGAAGCTAATGG